TTTAGATTCCTGAAGCCCCCACAAAAAGTATACAACTTGGGTTTTTTGTTTGTTTTTACCCTTTTTTAGATTTATTTATTTTTAATTCATGTGAGTGCATATTTTGCCTGCACTTATGTACCCACACCATATGCATGGCAAGTATCTGTAGAGGCCAGAAGAGGCCCATTATGGAGTTACAGGTGGTTTTGAGCCACTGTGTAGTTGCTAGGAACTGCACCAAGGTCCTCTGGAAGAGCAAGTCTTAACCATTGAGCCATCTCTCCAGCCCCAGTATACAGCTTCTTGAAAAGGTGACCTAATCATAATTAGGAACAAAAAGCCCAGTCACCAAGGCTGCTGCTTTTAAGCATATACTGCTAAGGAACTTAGCTAAATAAATGTTAACTTTGCTAAATCTTACTGTCTGAATTAAGTTTTTCAATGCACACAAAAAAGAGGCCAACATTAATGCTGACTGACCATGCCTGAGGAAGTAATTCAATAGGACAGGAAATCAAAAATCACAAAGTATCAATGTGAGGTGGGGAAGAAATCCTAAAAATTGGTAACACTAGACATGTAAAATAGGGGTGAAAGCACCTCCATGGGGTTCTACCACTTATACCAAAGAAGCATCACACAGTAACAACTGTGTCAGATTCATGTTCATGCTTAGATTCTAACGGGTCTTAATTTCTTCTTAAAGTCCTCATTTCAACATTGACTTGCTCACTACTATTCTACAAGCTATAGCTACTGCTCAAGCTCCCAAATAATCACAGACAGAAAGATCATATGACTTCACAGCAAACAAACAAAAAGGCTCCAGTGTACTTCATAAATATTTGGCATACAAACTAAAAACTGTAACCTCTGCTAAGCAATCAGCAATAATTACAACTTACCCACATAAAAATAAAATGCACATCTCAGTATCCAATCAGGACAGGCTCCCAGTCTTTATTCTGAGAAGCTCCTAAGTTTAATGTTGTTTTTAAAAGCAGCATTCCATTTTTTAAACAAAGGCCAGATGGCTCATTGGGTAAAAACATTTGCTAGGCAAGCCTGAAGACCTGAGTTTGATTCCAAAATCCATGTATAAGTGGGTCATTCTCCGATCTTCACATGTATGCAGTAGCTTGCTGATGCACACGTGCTTACACATGTGCACACACACATTTTAAAAACAAAAGTATTATCACTTCATTCTATTCTGAGGTCTTTAATTTGTTTGTTCTGAGGATGGCCTTATGTAGCTCAGGTTAGCCTTGAACTCCCTATTTAACAGAGGGTGATGGCCTCCTGAATCCTCTGGCTGAGACCCTTAATTTTTGACAAAGGGGTTAAAATTCCTTCACAGGAAATATTTGTGGATGATGGTTCAATAATCTCAACACATGTATTAAATACATAGACAGGATCCAGCTGGTGAGATGTCTCAGCAGGTACTTGCTGGGACCTGAGTTTGATCTCTGAAATCCATGGTAACTGTAGAGAACTGATTCCTGAAAGTTATCCTCTGACTCCCACACATGTGACATTTCATATGCATGTCCACACTTATACACAAAATAATAAATCAATTAATTAAAAATAGGATCCTGTTAACACAAATAGGAATATGCAAGTGAGGGAATCAAATATTATCTTATAAACCTATAACACCAACATTTTTTTCTTTGATGTTGTACCTATCTCCATAAACATTTAAGTCCCTCAATTAGGCTGCATCAGTAACAGGCAATATTTATGCAGGAATCCATAATGTGCAGAGAATTGTCAACATAAGGGAATTCATTCAAGACTCACCACTGAGTAAGATGCTGCAGGGGATGTAGCTCAGCAGAGCATTTGCCTTGCAGACACAAGGTCCTAGTTTCCATCCTCAGCCCTGAGGCTAAGTGGTATACGCCAGTAACCTCAGCACCCAGGAAGTGGAGTAAGGTCAGGAGTTCAAGGTCATCCTTGACTACACAGAGAATCCTAGACCTGCTTGGACTACATAAGGTTCTATCCCAAAATAAAAATAAGGTGGGGGGGGGGGGTTAAAAAGATAAAAGACCCTGCCTCCAAGCCTTTCAAACTAAGTTCAGCCTACAGGTCCCACAAGGTGAAAGGAGAGAACCCACTGCTGAAATTGTCCTCTAACCTCTAATGTACACCATGGCACGATCTCTACACACACACACACACACACACACACACACACACACACACACACACTAAATGTAATAAAAATTTTTAAGAAAGGGGAAAAAAAGTGAGGAGGAATATGAGCAAGCGAGTACAAGCCTAAGGACCTGAGTTTGGACACCCAGCATCCATGTCACAATGTCAGGCATGGTGTTACAGGCCTGTTTGTAATCCCATAACTGGGAGGCAGAGACAAAAGGATACTGGGGGTCACTGGCCAGTCTAGCCAATGTGACCCCCAGGTGACTGAGAAATCCTGTCTCAAAAGAAAAACAATGGATGGTAAAGAAAATCACTCAAGGTCAAGTCCTGTCCCATACACATTTACAATCCCACCTCCCAAATTGCTATTTCTAGGTCTCTTTTTTGAAACAATGGCTGGTCTTAATTAACCTTGTACTTCTGGATCCTCTTGCTTCCCTCCTCCCAAGTTGGGATTATAGGTATGGGCCATCATACCTGGTTTATGAAGTGCTAGGAATCAAACCCCAGGTGTCCTGTATGCTAGACAAGCACTTTACCAACTGAGCTATGGTCTGTTAGATCCCATGTTTTTATAAGTCGACTCTAAACAGGTGACTTGACCTTGGGATCTGAACACAGGACTCTTAGCTTTAAATAGTTTATATTCTACTGCCTCAAAATATAGTCTGTCACCAGAGTGAACAAACTAACCCCAGCCAAGCCTCCCTGACCCTTACCACTCCTGCCATATCCCCTCTGAGTTACGGTTAATTCCATGTTAATTCCATAAGGCTTTTTCTCTTTCCGGGAGAGTTTTCCTCTTTTGTCTAGAAAATGTTTTCAAGTCTAATGTGTTAAGTGAGGGGAATGTATCAGCGCCATTCAACAAAGAATCAAATGAAGGGTCCATAAATGCCATTCAACACACAGGAAACAACATCTCAGCCGCGTCAGGCCTCATACAGGCACTCCTGTGTGTGTTTTCCCAGGCAGTGGGTGACCTAAAAAAGATGAAAAACTTTTCTATGCAACTAGCTCCACAAAGTTCTTAAGTATACAGTTTTGTCTCAGCCTCCTATTTTCCCCATCTTCATTTTTATCCCTCTTCTCCAGGCCTCTCTCAGAGCCAATAAGGTCACTGATACCTCCATCTGTTTTTTAAACTAACATACAACTTGAAATAACTAATATACACCAACAACCTATACAAAACACATTTAAATTAAGTGTCACTTGAATTTTAATACTTAACACATACTCCTTTCTCTTTCCCCCAAATTGAACATTTTCTTACCATCAGCATTCCTACCAAAAAGAGTTTCACAAATACAACTACTTGAGCTCCTGGAATACCATTCTCTTCACTAGGAACCCTCTAGATTACAAGGGTGAGAGAGAAGCATGCAATGAATTCTGAATCTGTTAGGTAATTCACTCAACTGTCCTAGCAGAAGAATTTAGAATTTTTTTCCTGGGGGTGGAGGGTGAGAAAGAAATGATGAGGAAGCAGGCCTATTACTTTAAAACTCCAAATCTAAACTACAACAGATTCCTAGTAACTGCTGGGTAGAACATCCAGAAGTAGTCTTTCATCTTAAGACAGCTTTTCAGTTCAAATCTGCATAAACAAACTTTGTCCTTCAATCTTTCAACTCCTCGGCAGTTTTTCAAGGTCACTTTTCGGAGCATCGACAGAGGCCTGCACCCAGGAACTTGGGCTGTTATCCCACTCCAGCTGGAAGTGTCTAAACCTAAACCCCAATGAATCCTCTCAGGTAGATTCTTTCCTCAAGAGGAAGCAGGGGAAGGCAGCTCAACACCTTCCAAACTTCTCCTCAGGCCAGGCCTGCCTCCTCCCTTCCCTGTCCAGAGCTACTGCTGCTCGCTGCTCTACACTCAATCTCAGCAGGAATGTTCCAATGACCTTCATTCAGTATTTGCAAATAAAGAGAAAAACAAAGAACTGCTTTTTAAAAACCAGGCATATTACAGATCTTAGTACACAGAACTAATGATTCCACTGTTCACAAGAACTGACTTGTTACTTACTGATTAGCAACCTCTATTAGCTTCATATCCTTAAAGAAGGGGGTAAATATCAAGGGCAAAAAGGCTACCTACACTCTTAACTTTTCTAATCACAAACTGCAGGTAAGCCCCTTAAACATTTCATACTGAGAATGAAAGGCATTTTGCTTGAATCATTTAAAAGAACCAAATCAACAGCTGACAAAAATGTGATAAGCTTGTCACTTCGAATTTTAACTGCCCTCTAAACTAATCAGCACATTAAACTAATATGAACATTTAACAACAAAGACTTAATTGATTCTTATTAGAATCTAGAGACAGGTAGATCAAGAAAGTTATAGGAGAATTTCAGACTGGCATGTGGGCCTTTCCCATCAGAACCTGCATCGGTTGTAAATCATATTTTCAAACAAATTGAAAGAGCATTAATGTGGCTTCTATCTCTAAAAACATGTGTGCCAAAGAGGTGCATGGAAATAGAAAAACTCTTAAAACAACTCAGCCTATTCTGGAGAAAAGCTTCAGTGCACTTGAACAAAGGAAAATTATTTGGAAAACAGTTAAGTTTACCCAATGTAAAGACACAGTGCTTTGCTTCTGTATGCCCATGAAAAATGATTAGCCCTTCCTGCATCTGTCTTGTCGATATTAAAGCAGGAAAATCCTAGTTGAAGGACATGCAAAATCTAACCAGAGCAAGGTAATCTAGGTGCACAAGAAGGTATGCATGGAATGTCAAGTGGCCATTTTCTGAAACAGTGCAACTTGTCTATACTCTCTGAAGCTACCAGTCTCTATCAGCTCAACACAAAACAAAGAATTAAACTTACCGAGAACTGCATTAATTTTACATGGAGTTATTTATATCTCCTCGGACAGGGAGAATTTAAGTCACTCCTATCCCTCCCCCTAAAAAAAGAACGGAGGACAAAAGGCAGCAGAAGATGCAGAAACCTGAGTCTGGAATGTCCACTCCAGTGAAAACCCGAACAGCTGTCCTCCCACCCCCCAGCAAACTATTCGCCATTTTTCTTTGTCTTTCAGCTGACCCCTGCCTCAGTGAAAAACTCTGAGGCTCCAATGAAGCCTGCAGCCTCCTTCCACTTTAACAGTCAAAGGCATTCAATCTAGCCTGCTATTTGACACCAAACCTTGCCTCCAAAGCAGTCCCATTGGCTGAGCCGTTTTATCAGCTAAGAATACAAAGCCATGATTGGCTGTTCACGTCATCAGTTACCTCCTTTGTACACTTCCTGTTTTAAAGTTACCTTGAGAAGCAGAACAGGGGTCAGATTCTTCACTTCAAACACAAGAACTTAAGGATTGGAAATACCCAGCAAATGCACACAGCAGACATCTATGGTCTCATGCGCTTCAAAAACGGGGGAGGGCAAATTTAGAATTGTTCTTAAAAACCAAAGGAAAGGTTCGCTACACTTCCCACCCAAAGGATTTCCTATTGGCTACAGAGTTCCATTTAAAAAATTTAAGGTAATTTCACTGCTTCTGATTGGCCATGAATGGTGTCTGTAAGATATTGCTACAGTGTCCTATGGCAGAAAAACCAGAGAAGCAATGTGCATAAGGTTGGAAAGTTGTGACAATATACCTCCAGGTTTCTACTGATCATTATTAACAGAAGAATAAAACCAGGCAGGGTTAATCAAAGAAAAACAGCTTTCTCAATAATATCAGTGAAGCTATGCTCATACAACAGTCTTCAGGATTTTGAAAAAGGTGCCTGTCTTTGTATTCACGGTAATTTTATTTTAAAAGCACAGACTACTACAAAGGCAATGCATTTTACTTTAAAACACCAGCAAACCAAATAGGAAGATTTGGGGGTAATGTATGAAGTTGGTGGCAGGAACAGTAGCATTTCAAAAGAAGCCCACCACAATGTTCCACTTCAACTTTCTGAAAATGTGATGGAGGGGGAAATGCCTTCTATGACATCAAAACTCTGAACCAGGCATGGGAGCACATACCTGTAATTCCAGCTAACCAGCAGGAAGGACAGGGCAAAAGAATTCAGAATTCCAGTGTGGTCTACATAACAATACCCTGGGGTTTTTGTTTGTTTGTTTGTTTGTTTGTTTGTTTTGTTAAATAAGCAGCAGGAGTGATCTCAGGAAAGAGTAATAGTTTTACTTAGCTCACTGCTGTTTCTAGAAACATTCTAGGGTACTGAAGGTCACCAGGGGTAACCACAGAGTTACCTATAGACTTTGGGCTCTACAACCTATCTTTTAATTGTATGACACAGACTAAGCTTGAACCATAGTTAGCTCATGTGTAATACAGTTTGTATACACTGTAGGGGCTAAATGGATTAATATATATAAAGTACATTATATGCTGTGCTTGAATAAGAATGGAAAAAATATGAAGTGCTGAATGCCATCGAATTCTACCTTCTAGTTTTTATAGAGGACACCATGCAAAAAGAAAACAAGACTTGTGCTAAGGCCCTAAAACTACTTTGTGGTAATTTCTCCTCTATGTCCTGTATCCCTGCAGCAAGCAATTCCTCAGCTGTAAAGAACTGTGTAAGAGGACTCCCAGCTGGAACTAAAAATCCCTGGTTTTTAGGCCGGAAATCCAGGCCTTTCACCACCAGTCACAGCCAAGGTCTGGTTATTGTTCTAGAAGTCTGCCTTTCAACTCTGTTTTTGATGTACCAGATTAAACCAATCAAGTCCCTTGCTACTCTGTGAAGGTCTTGGGCATAGTTTTTATTAGTTCTTGGCAGTTTACAAGAAAAACATCTCAACTCCTATTTCTCATCAGCGGTCACCACAGTAGAATTCCAACCACAGTGAGAAGAAAACACAAATTATCCCTGAATTTCCATTTGGCAACCTGACCCATTCACTTTCTCTTCCCTAGCTGATATTACCATAGACTAAGTGCCTCCTGGGATATCTGGGACTCTAACTTTCATTCTTCCCTGGCCCTGAATCTTGGCAGCTCTCTATACCACACAATTGCATCTACTCATCCCAAAAAATACTCTCGTCACTAAGAGAGAAAACCTGTAACTCAGGTTACAGTTCAAGCTTCAGTGCTCTCATAGAAGGGTGAGAACTCATGCTCTTGGCCAAACTCCTTATTAACTGTTTGATCTTATTCAAGTTACTTAACCATTCCTGAGCTCATTTCATGTTGAAAGTGATAAAACAAAATTAACTCACATTTAGCTGAGATAAATGAAAGCACGAAGCACATCTGTAATATAGTGGGACTCAATCAATATCTAAACATACATTCTACTACAGTGCTTTATACATACTATTAATTTATTTTTTAAAACATCTTTATTAACACAGAGAAGAGATTCTTCAAGGCAGCAACTGTGTCTTTCTGTCTTTCTGCATGTGTTCCCAGTGCTCAGCACCAATATATAAATGAGGTGCACATTTGTAATCCCAGTACTCTGGAGGCTGAAGCAGGATTTCCATGAATTCAAGGACACCCTGGCTACACACAGTAACTACCAGGGCAACCAGAGTTATACAACAAGATCCTGTCTCAAAAATAAATAAATAAGCCGGGCGGTGGTGTCGCACGCCTTTAATCCCAGCACTCGGGAGGCAGAGGCAGGCGGATCTCTGTGAGTTTGAGGCCAGCCTGGTCTCCAAAGCGAGTTCCAGAAAAGGCGCAAAGCTACACAGAGAAACCCTGTCTTGAAAAACCATAAATAAACAAACAAACAAACAAACAGCCCTCCTACCCTGCAAAGACATAAACCAATCTTGACTCTAGCCAGTGTCAGTATGCGGACTGTGATAGTGACTGCTGGAGAACACTGCTGAGTGAATGCCCTATCTAAAGGGGCAAACACTAACTAACCTACTGTACTCTGAGCTCCAGATGTTTTAAAGACACAAAAGTCAGATTACTTTAATGCCAAATCTCTGTATTTTAATGTGTGGTTCAAATCTTTTAAGAAGTTATAAGTGGGTGGGGCGGTGGTGGCGCGCCTTTAATCCCAGTACATGGGAGGCAGAGGCAGGAAGATCTTTGTGAGTTCCAGGCCAGCCTGGTCTACAGAGCGAGATCCAGGAAAGGCGCAAAGCTACACAGAGAAGCCGTCTCGAAAAACTAAAAACAAAAAAAAGTTATAAGCAAACCGGCCGGGCATGGTGGTACACACCTCTAATCCCAGCATTTAAGAGGCAGAGGCAGACAAATCTCTTGAGTTCAAAGCCAGCTTGGTCTACACAGTTGAGTTCCAGGACACCCAGAACTACACAGACCCAATCTCAAAACAAATAAACAAAAAAAAAGTTATAAGCGCCGGGCGGTGGTGGCGCACGCCTTTAATCCCAGCACTCGGGAGGCAGAGCCAGGCGGATCTCTGTGAGTTCGAGG